TCCCATGGCACAGCAGATTTATTGTTAGAAATACTTTGTTCTTGAGTTTCACCATGTTTTTCTGCTTTCACTTGCTGCAGAGTTTTTTAAATGCAGGAATAGTTTGCACTTCTAGAATGAAACTGGGACAGGTGTAAAGAAAGGCTGCTCAGACCATCCAGCTTCCCCACAGATATTTTTGATGACAGAAAGCAAAGGGAATTTTGTGTCTCAGCTTCAAAACATGCAAACTGAGGTGTGAGAAGATTTTTGACTGCAAATGCAAGAAGCAAGTAAAGGGAGAGGTGTGGGTATATGAGAGGGAACTGAAAAGCCATGAAAAGAATCTATTGCAAAATGGTTGTAAACAAATTTAAGCTGTGAAGAAGAAGTTTGCTGTAATAATTAGGAATGGTCTGTCCTTAGGTGTTCCAGAATGAGCATAATGGGGACTAAAGATCCTTGCAAACCCTGTTATGGAATAGGTACATTTCTGTTGAAATTTGGGAATAGCACTAGGATGGGAAGGGAGGGGCTTTTGATGCTCTGGTTGTGTGGAATTTGGAGTTAAAAGAATTGAGAGTTTTAGCTGAAGTCATGGTATCCAATTCATTTAAAACTGTCATATTTCCAATGGCACTTTTCACTTTATTGACTGAAATCTCAGTGAGGGTACTGAAGTGAGAACTGAACTTCAGCCCAAATGTCCATCTCATGCTTTGCCAACTGTCACTGGAATGTGCCAAAAGCTCCTTACCTGGCCTGCTGCAGGAAAATGGCCTTGGCAAAGGAACACACCACAAAAAAATGAGTTTTAATGTCAGTTCCCTGCAAGCCTAATTCTGCCTTTCAAGAAAATCTGGGAAGGTGGTCCAAGGCTCCTCCCTGTGATAAGGCTAATTTGCATCCTCAGAAATGAGGGATGGAAGAGAATGTGTTAGAAATAAAAGTCCCTTAAGCACTTTAATTGATTTGGTTTTCATATTTAAAGGGAAATTAGGGTCTGTCTTTAAGACCCCAGCATTTCCTTTTGCCTTTTTTAAGCAATTTTTAAATGGATTTGCTTGTTTAAACAATGCAGACTGAACATGGATATTGAGAGTACTGGAATTTATCAAGTCTAAACAAGACAATTTTCTGCAGAACTGATTCTACATAGATTAGGCAACATGAGCAGATGAGGTAGAGTGAGCCCACTGAAACAACAACTCCCCCCAGATGTGTTTTAGTGGGAATATTGGGATAATGGGTGACTTAATATTTTTTATTATCGTGTGCCCTGTGGGACACATTTCACTCTGAAATATGGAGAGGACTTTTCTGGCTTGCATTAAAACTCTTCCTGAAGCTAAAGCCCTCCATCTCCCTGAGCAGTCATTCCTCAGGGATCTTCTGTTTTGGGCACTCATGAGTCACAGATGGAAAAGGTGATAACCTTGGTTGCCTAAAGCTCTGTACATTCCTTAATATCCAGTCACTAAGGAGTGAAAAAGTACTTATCCAGGGGGGTGAGATGCATTTCCTCTGGCCAAAAGGTGAACAGTTGATAAAATTCCTCCTCATTGCTTGGATTTAGAGACTCTCACAAAGAAAATGTAATAGTGTTTCATTTACTTGGACTTCGGTTGGTACTGTGCTTGAAGCCATTTCAAACATGTGAGCTCAACTTATTTTTAAGCAGCTTTCTTACTCCTTAAATATATGAAAAGATAATCAGGAAAACTCACTGTAAGTATGAGTGTTACAAAGAACTTGTCACAGTGAACACAAGCTCGAGATCTCTGTTTATAAAGATGTGTCAGTGATTTTACCCACACCAGCACAGTGAACATTGAACAAATATTGACAAATATTGGATTTACAGACTTTCCAGTAATTCCTTTCAAAATCATACTAACTGTGATGATAATTAAGCTGTGGTAGTAGGATTGTTCTTATGTTCTGTCCTGGCTGAATTTTTTTCAAGTTTGCTAATTTGGGGGGATTAGAATTCTAACATAGAATGGTACAGAATTGTTGCTATATCCCCTGGATCATCTTCCTCAGAGGACTAAGTTTCTTAGAAACAAATTCTTTGCCATCTCTGATAGCAGAGACTATGAACCATTAACTTCTAACAATGCTACAAGCATCTGTACATGTTAAAAATAGGCTCTAAAATACAATTCCCTACTATCCTGAAATTTCTTAGTTCATACCCAGTCTATTTTGTTTTTATGTTTCCCTTCTGCACCTCCTGTAAAATCCATCTGACAGATGCTAACACAGATCTGAGATTCATTAGGAGGTCATTAATCATCCTAAAGGGATGTTTATGGATAGCAGCACTGTGTAATTTGGGCTGTCAAGACAAATTGACCAAATGGCTTCTCTGTAACCACTTAGCAACTGAGGCAGGCTAATGACAAAATTCTGTGCATGGTATCCCTCTAAATCCAACACAAAATCTAGTGCAAGAAAGAGTTTAGTGAAAAGAGTTTAGTCTGGTGATCATCACACTGAGTCTCAAAGGAAACTCATGGTTTAGATATCAGAGCAATTATGAACACTCCATGGCATTTTTCATTAATTAATTTATGAATAAAAGTTTCTATATAAATAGCATTTTATATAAATAGTGTTACTGGGCTTTCAGGTGGAGGCTTGAGAGTGGGCAGTCCTGAGCTGGGAGCTCTCCCTCAGCCTCAGTCGCGTGTTTTCATCAGCCTTCCCCTTAAATTATTTTTCCATTCATTTTGCGACTTAAAGGCCAAATGTAAAATATAACAAAAACACCCTAAACTGATCACCCCCTTGTCCAAATAAAGGTGTCATGATTTCTACTGAAATCATTTCAGGCAGTGTGGTTTTAACAGGAATGGTGTGTCCAGAAGCCCTGGGCTCCTCACCCCAGGTCTGAGTGCTGGTGCTTCTGGCTGTTACACAGAGGGATACATGAACTGAACGCTTTGGTGGCTGCTCCTGGCAGCACAAACTGCTTCTCACTCACTGAATTCTTTCACAGAAAATACATTTTAAGAGTTATTTGCTCGTGAAGTTGCTTTCCTTGCTGCTCTTCATTCGTGTTCTGCTGATGCTCCACTGCATGATTAGCTTTTGGCCCTGCTGGTTTAGCTCTATATTACATCTGGCACTGAGCAAATTACAAGGAGGAATTACATTAATTTAGCCAGTGCTATATTTCAGTGAACCTACTCTTCAAAATATTATTGTATGCAACAAGACTGATCCCAGGGAGTTAATATTTTAAGTGCAAAAGGTCAAGCATGTCTTGTTTATGCTTCAAGGCCATGTCTGACAGTCAGTTTTCCTGCTGTTTGCACCCATCAGTCCGAATAATCTTTATGATCTACTAATTGAAAAAATACCCTTCAGAGTTATGCCGTGGAGGAGAGTATAAAGGTGGCTGTACAGAAATTCTTCAGGCTTTTACATAAGGCAGTAATTCCTACAGTACCTCTCACCCAGCCCTTTTCTGAAGTTACAATTGTCTGTATAATGCATTAAGAGCAAGCTTAAAAGTCTCTATATAGCTTTACTCTCAGCCATCTGCTGAGCTCTGCTTTCCCTCAAGTGTTCTACAAGTTGTGTTGCTAAGATATAAAAATGACTAAAATTTTAATGGTTTGCCGAAGCTAATTTTTCTAAAACATTTAACTCTGGTAGCAGTGAGAAAACAGCAAAACCATTAACAATAATCTTTACTGTGGACCTGTGATGCAGAGCTGTAGTTGCTGGGCTGAGCACTGTTTCCTTGTGTGTGCACAGTCAGATTTGGGTCCCCGTGGGCTCAGTGCACTCACCCAGAAGGGAATCTGGAGGAGGTGGTGGCAGGACACCTTTGTGTCTCTCTGTTCTTAGCACTGGTGTACCACAACAGTTTCTTAGAACAAAGATGACACAAGACAACTAACTCATTCCAGGCTTGTTACAGAAGTAACTGCAGAATTTACTGGAAAGAGGGTTCATTTATTCCTGGCCTGTGTCACCCAGGTATCTCCTTCCCAACGGAAATCCACAGAGCTGGAAAAATCCTTCTTTGGGCCTGTTTCAAACTGGAAGTGGAAGCAACCCTTGGTATAATCATGGGTGATCTGTCTGCTAAAGAAATCTGTTCTCAGAGTCTCAGTTTGTTCCCAGAAATCTGGCCTGGTGCCCACTCAAACTGTTGCTTGGTGTCAGCTAGCTGCCTTTTATTAGTAAAGACTTGTGGGTGTGGGTCTAAAGACCAGTCTGCATTTTAAAGTGGATTTATATGAATTTCTGCAAATATAGATGCCAGGCTCAGAATAATTTTTCACATGTGAGCTTTCTGCTAAAATATTTACACCATGTCTAAAAGCCCATTTATTATAATAGGACTCGGTAACACATAAAGGGTTGCTTGTAGACCATGCCTAGAATAAAAAAGCAGAGATCTATATATTGTGTGTTCATACTGCTGGCTTGCTCTGTATCACATATAAAAGCAGTTAAAAAAGGGCTGATTTTCCAATGTATTAACTACAAACAGTCTGTTTAAAAAGAGATTGAAAAAGAAAGAAGGGGGCTGTTCAACCGTTGTTTGCTGTTTGTAAGACACAGCACTACAAAAACTTGCTTTTGTTTTTTTCTGTTTCCTCTGATCTGAACACTCTCAAGGTCAGTAATAAATATAACATAAAAGTTCTTGGGAAAAGTATGTATTTTTCCCCTGGAGAAACTTTCACTTGTAAATTCATTTCTTTCAGAGAAAGGTGTTTGCAAGTAATTCTACTTGAGTGTTTCATTACTGTGTCATCAGTATGTTAAATTTTAATGTGGATATCACTAAATGAGAACTGTACATGTCTTTATATGGTAAAGATATATTCTGCTAAGGAAAAGTTGAACTTATAGTCAAAAAAACCTGAAGTCTCTCTGCATTTGGATTTTGTGTGACCTGAATTTTTGTACTGGGCATAGGTCTAGCAGTTTTATTTTCTTTAAAAGGCTTTGCAAGTGCAAAGTTATAACACTCAGAATATCAGGAGGGTGCTTACCGTGGAGGTGGGTCAGGATACATGATGTTGACCTGAGAAAGTATGTCCAGGTAGGAACCAAAGTCACAAGCCTGGGGAAACTCCTCGGTGCAGGAGGATCTCAGCTCACCAGAAGAGCCACCATGGGAGAAGCCATCTGGAGCTGCAAACCAAGCAATTCATATTTACTGCTCTTTCCTTCCCTGGTGGATTCCCTGTCACTGTTTATAACACTGCCATGAATTTGTCACTTTTGTATAAACGTTTATCTGGATAAGGGAATGACATCTCTGTTTCAGGAATAAAATTTAAAGTCCAGAAGAAGTGAAATGCAAACTGGTGTTTGCTGAAGGGGTTGCTAAAGTTCCCAGGGGTTGCACACATGGAAACCCTGACCATTCCATTAGGGGTAGGCTTTTGATTGCAGCTATGTGCCTTGAGAAAATGCTGTTCTCAATAAAAAACACGGACAAAAACGGGAAAAGCTGGAAAATAGTAGAGAAAAATCATCCTGCTGCTGCTCCAGGGCTTTCTTGAGACTTCCACACAAGAGCTTCACAGCTCCAACTAACAACACAGAAACAAGTCTAACACAGAAAAGAGCACTGACTTCTTAGGATTTATGGAGCAGCTCCACACTTGGGTAGTGTCGCACAATTTAGTTTAAGATTATTCTTTTGAATATCTCTGAAAAGATGCTTTCCTTTTTCCGTTCCTCTAGCACTGTTATTTCTAACAAGCAGTTTGAAAATTGCCCTGTATATTTTTGCCTGGTTTCAGGGTTTATTGGAACTGAAAATACTAGAGCAGTAGATTTAAATGTAGTGATTTAATCTTAATGGTCATTATTTTATCATGCCAAAATATTGCTGTTCATGGGTGAAAGAGTAACCCCAATTTAACCATTTATTCCTGCTGAAAATAAGGAACAATGGATGTTACCAGAATAGTAGGCATTAGTTTTCTGGATTTTGTTGTTTCATTTTTCCCTATGTAATTGTCTATGGGAGTTTGCATTTCACTTCTTTTGGATTCTGAATTTCATTCCCAAATAGAGAGGTTAATCTCTTATCTGGATAAATGTTTCTGGAAAAGCCAAAAATAGCTATTCCTAGCTCCAAGTGGACAAACTGATCGTAGGAAATGTGTCCATTAGACACAAAAATTCCTGATCCAGACAATTAAATGAAGTCCAATTGATGTACCTCAGAAAACAAGATTTAAGCTAATGTGTTTGTATCTTGCTCTCTATCATTGTCTTTTCTATACAAACACCACAACAATATACAAAGAACTGCACTCACAACGAACAGCAGATAGAGGAGTCTGGCCACAGAGGATGCAATTGTTGATGTTCCATCATTTATGATATGAATTTTTGAAAGCTGGACTTACAGAGTAACTTTATAACTGCTTTTTTTTTTTTTCCCCTAAAGAGAAATAATCTGATTCTGTCATAAAATGGCTTTTAGCTTCTGGTCAGCAAACCCAGAAGGTCAAAAATATAACTCTACAATTAACTCCTTGATAGCCTCAAAACTTCTTAAAATCTTTCTCCTTGTTTTTGGGGCTTTTGTTGTTTGTTTGGGTAGGTGGTTTTTTTATTTGTTTGTTTTGGGGTTTCTTGGGAGTAGGATCTGGCACCTTTTTGACTCTGTAATGAGGATGACCATTGTATGAGGATGACCATGATAATGGTCATACCATGACGTTTATGTGATGCTTGCAATGCCATTTTGGTGCCCTGGTTTTCTGTTTATATCCAGTTATTAATTTTTGTGGTCAGAAAAACAACATTTTCCCAGTCATTGATGTAGATTGGGGCACAAATTGAAAACAGTTCTGGCTTTCCAACATAGAAATGACATCACACGCTACAACCAGGGTAGAGGGGATGTGAAAATGCAACAAAGAAGAAATCTGATACCATATCAAGGAGAAATGATCTGTTTAGGACCTGCTGTGGGCACTGGCCTGGGTTATGTTAACCATGAACTGTGGGAACACAGTCCCAGCACCATTAAACTGCAAGGCTGCCTGTGACCTCCATACCCTATTTTTTATGGTTTTTAATTTTATTTTTTATTCCTTGCACAGTGGCTTTTTTGTTGGATTCAAAAACTATGAATTCTGCAGAGAAGAATTTGAGCAGTCTCTGCAAAATGCCATGAGCTATGAAAGCTGGAGAAAAATCCTTTTTAGTAACTTCATCACTGTGGATTGTTCCTGCCTCCTCCAGCACGATGGAAGAGACTCCTTGCATGATGTTATCACATACCCTGCCTAAGCCAGAGAGACCATACCCTGATTTGACCAACCTATGCAGAAGACCCATTGTATTTTCTCTCTCCTTTTGTGTTACCTGTCCCCCCTGTAAACTCTCCCAAATTAAAGTGGGTTAGGTAATTCCTAAGACCCCAAGGATATGTTAACCTGGGTTTTTCCCTTACCTCATCTTTGTGAAACCCCCCAATTTTAATACCACGAATATGTAGAACCCCCTGTTGAATATGTAAACCTGAACCCTTTAAAAATGAGGTTGTGAATCCAATAAACCATTCCAGTTTTCATAGAATCACAGAATCATAGAATCAGCTGGGTTGGAAGGGACCTCTGAGATCATCAAGTCCAACCCTTGATCCAACCCCGCCGTGGTTCCCAGCCCATGGCACTGATGCCACATCCAGTCTGTCCTTAAACACCTCCAGGGATGGAGAATCCACCACTTCCCTGGGCAGCCCATTCCAATGGCTGATTACCCTCTCTGTGAAGAAACTCTTTCTGATCTCCAACCTAAACCTCCCCTGGCACAGCTGAAGACCGAGCCCTCTTGTCTTGCTGATGGTTGCCTGGGAAAAGAGACCAACCCCCCCCTGGCTCCCCCCTCCTGTCAGGGAGTTGCAGAGAGTGAGGAGGTCTCCCCTGAGCCTCCTCTTCTCCAGGCTGAGCCCCCCCAGCTCCCTCAGCCTCTCCTCACAGCACTTGTGCTCCAGTCCCTTCCCCAGCCTCGCTGCTCTTCTCTGCACCTGCTCCAGCCCCTCCATGTCCTTCCTGAGCTGAGGGCCCAGAGCTGGACACAGCACTCCAGGGGTGGCCTCACCAGCGCTGAGTCCAGGGGCACAATCACTGCCCTGGCCCTGTTGGTCACACTGTTCCTGATCCAGGCCAGGATCCGTTGGCCCTCTTGGCCACCTGGGCACACTCTGGCTCATGTTCAGCTTCTTGTCAATCCAAACTCCCCTGGGACCGTCTTATCTTCGCTGCCCTCCGCAGGTGTTTGCCCCCCAGCAGCGGGCTGTCCCCGCGGTCGGTCCCTGTTTTGTGTCACTCACCGTCCCCAGGCCCCGTCCCGGGCCGGGGGTGCCGCAGCCGCCCGTCCCTGCGCAGGCTGCCCACCACGATGGTGGCACAGGACAGGGACAGCACCAGCCCGATCACCACCCCCGCCACCAGCAGCGGGGAGACCAGCAGGCTGGAGTCGCTGCCGCTCTCTCCATAGCCGGGGAATTCGCTGCTCGGGCCGCTCCTGTTGGAGGGAAGCGCTGCACAGAGAGAGACAGGAGGGGTCAGTCGGGAGGACAGGGATTCACACACGGGGCCAAAGCCCTAAAGAGCCTGAGACAGATCCACTGGATCAATTCATGCTCTCAGGGAAAACCTATTTATTAAACGGATTTCTGGACTGTCACTAGCTGACTGCAGGGGTGTCACATTTCCCTGTTATTAGAGAATATCGTGCTGGAGCCAATGGCGTGTGGTCCATAATTTTTATGGCTTTTCCCTGGCAAAATTCTTTGTAGCATGAATTGAACGATGCTGAAAGAACCTAATTGCACATGGAGGAATGTGCAAATCCCAAAATTTGAGCTCCAAGCAGAACAGAAGAATTCCACGTTGTTAAAGGCGGGAAAAAACTCCAATATATATATAAATTTATTATTTAAATTCAATAATAAATCTACTTAAGGGAGAATAGCTCCAGTAATTTATTCCCAAGTCAAATATCCTTTTGAGACAAGCTACAGAGAGAGTATCAGAAGTTAAACTGGAAGTTTTCCTTAGAGAATCAACCAGTGATATGTGTGAATTAATTTCCCACAGATGTATTTATGGGGGATTGCAGTGCTAAGGGAGGGGAGGTAAATGGTAGAAATTATGTGAAAAAGGATTCAGGATCTAAGCAGATAAAATATCCCCCCACTCCCCTCCCAAGTTAAAAGGAAATCTCCCATTTGCTGCTCAGGATCAGACAATCAGACTTATTGATGCATAAATTCCTGGAGGTGCCTGTGTACCAAGACTGGGTGTTGAGTATGGCCTGGATACACTTTTGTGTCTGGCTTTATGCCATTTGAACAGATAAAGAATTTGTTTCCTACAGAAACCAAGGCCAACAAAATTTTTCTCTTTTGAATATTCTGTGAATATTTGGTTTAGGAAGTGCAAGTGTTTTTTACATGGATAGGTGTCAGCAGATAGTTCTCAGTAACGTTTTTCCACTCTTTTCCTTTGGGAGATTCCACTCAGTGTGTTGCAGTCCCAATAAATTAAAAAGAAGACATTGGCTTCAAGCCAATGTATGTTATCATTGGCTGATGCTTGAGCTTGAGAGAACCAACTAGAAGTACAAAAAAAAGTGGACCTAAAATGTAGTGGGGTTTTTCTTAATTTTCTAGAAGCGCTTGACCATTGGCTGAGGAACTTTATAAGCAATTAAGACACACAGCCAAGAAATGTGCTGAGTTTTTACCAAGTATTTTATACCAAAAAAGAAAATTGAGTTCTTTGAAAATTTAACTGATGCTGTAGCATTAAATCAAAAGGTTATGGACAACTGAGCTCCTTAATAGTGTTAGTGCAAAGAGATTTGGGGTAGGGGATATGTTTGAGGGGGAGATTCTGCTGATCTTATGGCCCTTGAGCTAGAACTTAACTTCCTCAAACTTTACAAAATTCTGACCATGCTACTCCTTTGTACATTTTTTAGCTCTCTCTCTTGGTAATGTGTCCAAAAAGTGTGCATTCTTGCTGACATTCCAAAGCCTTGTTTATTCATATTTTTGCAAAATCTCTCTTTGAAATACGCAAATATCACAGCAGTGACAATTTAAATCCCAGTGGTGGGGGGCTGACACCTGAACTGAAAGTACTGGCAGGTAATTTATTGGGAACTTTGGCTGACTTGTAAAGGTGAAATAAAGATGGACTTTGTTGCCAACCTGCTGAGAAATGAGCCTGGGGTGGGAGGTGGCCCTGTGCACTATCATTTCAATTTGAAGTCAAATAGTGCTGAAATGGAGATGGTCATAAAATTCTGTCAGTGGGAAAGAAAAGAGGCTTCAGTGAGAAAAACAAAGAGGCTGAAGTGAGTGCTCTCAGATCTTTTAAAGCTTGGGACAGATACTAAATGATCCTCTAAATAGGAAGAGGGGTTGTCTAAGGAAAAGAAGAGTAGGCTAGATGGGTTTTTTTCAGTTGTGTATGGAAGCCAGCTGGAATCTTAACATATTGACCCTTTGGGACATTCCTGTGGTGCCACCCAGTGTGAGCACTGATATTTGGACCTATTTTGCTTTATAGCAAGCCCTGTACTGCACAGTGACTTCAGATAGGAAGTCCTCTGTCATGCACTCTGCACCAGTACTTGAGGTGTTTTATTTCAAGACTCACCATTTATCTACCACAGCTTCCTCAGCTGTCCAAAAATCTTGTCTATTTTATCCCTTGCTTCTCACCACTCTGACTCTTTCTGGGGTTTTTGTGCTTTTAATCTAATTGAACCCAGTCTCTTGCAAAGAGATGTATTGCAATACTGCTTTATTAGAAGGAATGAATAAATCCCCTTAGCCCAGCTTCTGACAAAATATAGACTTGATAAACATCTCCTAAGGCACTATTTTCAATGTGAAGCTATGAGTCCAGTCCTCCAGACTTTACACACTGACTTACTACTATGTACAAACAACTACAGGATGAGAGGCTGTGTTGAAATAAATTCTTTGGGTTTGAATTTTTGGGGTGCAAAAGAATATGTAATGCATTTTTCTCCTTTTATCCAAATACATCTTCTTATGATAAACTCTACATCCTGTATGTAAAAATGCTATGAGGTTTCTTTCAGAATAGAAGTGCATTCTGAAAATGTATGTGAAGCCCATAAATACAATACCCATAACTGAGTCATGACTTTTTTTGGTTTGGGAAAAGTTGTATTTCTTTCCATGAAACTGCAAATTGTAAACAATACATGCATAAATACTTTATATCTAATCCTCTAAATATGAATTATATGGGATGCACAAACTATTGCTTTTATCCAGTGATGGGAGCTGTGTAACTACCTGGACATGGGCACAAATGGAACATGGCTGAGTGAACACTTAATTTAGAGTGAAGACTAGTGGAAAATTGCCTACAAACTATCCACTCAGTGTCAGACAATAAATTATCAATCTGCAGAGTCCCTTAAATGGCACATTATATTATTTTATTCAGTGCTGCTGCATCTCAACAGAGCAGTTGTAAATGACTCAACTGAAAGAGGTGTAGCACAAATTGACTTTTTTTTGTATGTTGTACTTTCTTGTTCCCATTAACCTGTCTTTAAAGGGAGACTTGTGATCCCTTTCTAACTCAGCTCCAAGTGATGTGGAAGTGTCAGCTGGTCACATCCTGGCAGAGTGAAATATCTTGGTACATAGATGTGTCCTGGGAGCTCAGTTCACCCAAGATACAGCCATTCTTCCTCAGTATCTTTTACCTGCTTATGTCCCAGAAGAGAAAGAAAGGAAAATCTCTTCTCTCCATTATGAAATAACTGAGTTTGGGGTTAGTGGTGTGTTGTTTTTTTCTTTTTTTTTTTTTTCCCCAAAGGCACAGCAGAGGCTGCTGTGGTCTCTGTGATGGATTTTCTTTGTACCCTTTAAAAATCAGAGATTATTTTAAGGCTGGATCCTGCTAAGATAACCTAATATCTTCCTTTGATTTACAATCTATCATGGCCTGGAGCTGTGTCAGGGCAGGCTCAGGTTGGATCTCAGCAAAAGGTTCTTCCCCCAGAGGCTGGTTGGGCACTGCCCAGGCTCCCCAGGGCAGTGGGCACAGCCCCAAGGCTGCCAGAGCTCCAGGAGGGTTTGGATGATCCTCTGGGGCACAGGGGGTGACTCTTGGGGTTGGGCCTGTGCAGGGTTTAATGTTGAACTCGATGATCCTTGTGGGTCCTTTCCAACTCAGCACATTCCGGGATTCTGTTATATTAATAAGGATGATAATTCATGTTAGGACTGGTGGAGAAGATGAGACATGGAGGGGTTGTGTTTACCAGACTGAAATGTACAGGAACAGCTCCTGAAGAAGGGCTGATGAGTTGTACTGGAAGGATTTTTTGTGCAGAATCATCCACCTCTTCAACCCATCATCCTCAGACACTCCTTGCCTGAGGACAGGGTGGCCTTGGTGATGATGTGCTGAGCTGGAGCTGAAGCACGTGGACAGAAGGTGGTGTTACATGGACACCCTGGGTTAGTACAGGCTGTTTGGGGATGGTGATCTAACACTCCTATTACCTTGAAATACACTGTATTAACAAAGTGAACAGGATTGGAAATGAGTAGGGGGAAGGTCAGTTTAGGATAGTGCACAGTATCCCCTGATTTTTAAGTAATCACAACAAAGCATCTCAAAGCCTGAAGCAATTTAAAGCATGTTCCTGATATTTTTATTCTTTAAATCCCTGGTTGGACAGTGTGGGAATGTGCAGTCTCTTCCTCAAGGGAGCTGAGTGATAGATGTCAGGAAGGAGCTGACAGTTCCCAGTGAGGCCCACAGATACACTAAATTAGTGGAATTAACCACGATTTTGTTGATTGTGCCTTTATGAACAATTCTTGTTCAAAGATGATTTAGTCTGGCCAAGAGTGCCTGGTTGGATGCTGCACTCGCTGCTGCCCTGGGGCACAAGACTGGCACTGCTGCTGCTCTACTCGTTGCTGTAGCTGCCAGACAGGAGCTCTCAAAAGGAGCAAGGGAGGGGTGGGACAAAAACAAGCCGAAAAAGGGTTTGGATCACAGGTGCTGGCTTTGTCCAGAGCATCCCCACAGCTAGGGAGAGAGGGACGTTACTCAAGCCATTGAATGCAAAGGCCTCCTAGGAGATAAATCTTTCATTAAAAAAAAAGTCTCTGTTGGATTCAAAGCTGTTCCATTGGATCCTGAGAAGGGTTTAAACCTCACTCAGGCTTAAATTCCAGGGTGTGATCTGCTTATGGGAGCCAAAAGAAGTGATCATGATGACAAGAACAGGGAAGGCTATTTTATATATTGTATTTATCTTATTCACTTGTAGCAAAGTTGAGAAAATGAGTGGATGACTGGAATAGTCTGGGAAATGTCCTCTCCGCAAATCAGTTTTACAGACATACAAATACTATGGGGAAAGGAATTTTCAACCCAGGAGGCCCAGGAGCCTGTTTAATTCTCTCACACTGCTCTCACACACAGTTCTCCTGTAGGCTTTTCTGATTTCCAGACAGAAAATTAAACT